AAGCAGGAAGTGTTCAGCTTCCTGACAGAGGACGGCTTTTTGACTCTGCTGCCCTCAGGCATCTGTATACTCTGTCATGCTTCTACTGCATCAAAGGACCTACTACTGTTTTATTCAGAACATCAATACAGTATAGCCTAGCAACAAACATGGACTTTCTTTGTGTCCTTGAAAGAACCACGTGGCAAGAACTAAGGAACTTCATGCTGCCCTTAGGTTTGGCCACCCCTGCAACAAGAATATCATGAACACTCGTTATACTGAATTTGGGAGATGCCCGGCAGTCTTTTCTGAGTTCATAGTGCTTAATCTCATTAGCTATCAGATACCATGCCTAATCTGATGTTCAGACTCATATCTGCGTGTAATTGGGTTCAGTGTGTGTAGTTACCAATAAAGCGGGTACTGGCTCCACAGAGAAGTTAGATGTCTTTGAAGAATCCATTAACTAACTCGAAGATGGAGAAAAGGGAACAAAATTTCACACATTTCTAATTAAGGGCAGGAAAACAAACCAGATCGAAACCCAACCAAATTTCTGGACATAATGGTGTCATAGCTCAGCAACCGCTCTAATGTTCTAGGGATTCCTACATAATAAGCATTAGGTTCGTCTGTTCATTCATTTTGATAACATTTGTCTGTTGACCACCTACGGTGTCCTAGTTGTCCTAGGTGCTTGTTGGGACAACTGAGGCTGGTAATAAACTAGTCCTTGTCTTCACGGAGCCTAGTATCCAGATGACTCTGACTAAAGGTTATAGACCAACCTATTTCATTTGAAAATATAATTGACATACTATTTAGTTCCTGGAATCCTAAATTATCAGCAGGATTTCTTTTTTTTTTAATATGCATACTAAGGGTCTTTTTATTTTTTTTAACATCTTTATTGGAGCATAATTGCTTTATAATGTTGTATTAGTTTCTGCTGTATGACAAAGTGAATCAGCTATATGTATACACATTCCCCATATCCACTCCCTCTTGCGTCTCCCACCCACCCTCCCTATCCCACACCTCTAGGTGGTCACAACGCGCCGAGCTGATCTCCCTGTGCCATGCAGCTGCTTCCCACTAGCTATTTATTTTACGTTTGGTAGTGTATATATGTCCATGCTACTCTCTCACTTCGTCCCAGCTTACCCTTCCCCCTCCCTGTGTCCTCAAGTCCATTCTCTACATCTGCGTCTTTATTCCTGTGCTGCCCCTAGGTTCATAAGAACCTTTTTTCTTTTTTTTTTTTACATTACATATATCTATATATAGATACCATAAATACGGTATTTATTTTTCTCTTTCTGACTTACTTCAGTCTGTATCACAGACTCTAGGTCCATCCATCCACTACAAATAACTCAGTTTCGTTTCTTTTATTATATATATGTGCCACATCTTTTGTTTTTGTTTTTGTTCTTGTTTTTGTTTTGCGGTACGCAGGCCTCTCACTGTTGTGGCCTCTCCCGTTGAGGAGCACAGGCTCTGGTCACGCAGGCTCAGCGGCCATGGCTCAAGGGCCTAGTCGCTCTGCGGCATGTGGGATCTTCCCGGACCGGGGCACGAACCCATGTCCTCTGCATCGGCAGGCGGACTCTTAACCACTGCGCCACCAGGGAAGCCCTGTGCCACATCTTTTTGATCCATTCATCTGTCGATGGACACTTAGGTTGCTTCCATGTCCTGGCTATTGTAAATACTGCTGCAATGAACACTGTGGTACATGACTCTTTGAATTATGGTATTCTCAGGGTATATGCCCCGAGAGTGGGATTGCTGGGTTATATGGTGGCTCTATTTTTAGTTTTTTAAGGAACCTCCATACTGTTCTCCATAGTGGCTGTATCAATTTACATTCCCACCAACAGTGCAAGAGGGTTCCCCTTCTCCACACCCTCTCCAGCATTTATTGTTTGTAGATTTTTTGATGATGGCCATTCTGACTGGTGTGAAGTGACACCTCATTGTAGTTT